GTCCAGGCAGAGAGATGGACAACTCCCCCAAGGTGAGAGTGTGCCGGGAGAGTTTGGAGAACAGAAAGGAGCCAATGGGAGGTCAGAGGGTCAGCATTCTCTGTGTCTTAATCTGACCTCTGGGCATCCTCCACAGTTTTAGGTTGTTTTTAGCTGACAGTGCTATGAATTTACTGGGAAAGCCCGTAAGAGTTTCTCTTCTTAGCAGTTGCCTATGAATCAAGGACCCTGGAAGAGACAGCCATGATACTGAGACCTCAGTGGCTTCCTTGCGCAGGTCCAGAAGGGGCGTGCTCGGGCATTTCTTCAACAACTGCCACCTCTTTCTCAGGATATGTTTGCATTCTCCTCATTAGGATTGGGGAGGCAGTGGGACATCGCTGCCATCGAGCTCATGGCTGGCTTCCCACAGCTTAGTCCTCTCTCCTGTTCTCTGGCCTGTGTTTGTAGTCTTGGCCGTTATGAACAAGGTGCAACTCTCTCCGCCACTTTCGAGAGTTACAGCTTTAAAGACACATTGCTGCTGTCAACTTGTTTCTCTCTACCCATCACTTTGTCCCAGGAAGTTGAGAGCCAGCAAAGTTTTGGTTGGCTATGTGTTGCAGGGAATGGGGTTGGGCCATTTTGGGTTGTACCTGCGTTAGTGTGCCAGCCCCGCAGCTCTACCTCGTACACCCCTTTGTGGCACAGTTGGGTCCCGCCCAATGGAATTGCCTTGCTGGCACCCCTATGGGAGAAAAGAAGGCTTCTCTGGGCAAAACTCCACTGAGGGTGGTGGACAAGTCCCAGCTCTCTACGGTCTATATTTAGCAATAGCTGAAGCCTCCATTGAGCTGTTTTCTTTTTGGTATGATTCACGAGCAGCACCATACTCTGTAGAAAGGGGCTATAAATTGTAATTGATCTGAGGCAATAATGGACAAATGATCAGACTCCATTTTTATTCCTCTCTGGGGAAAGCACGTGTCAGGAATCACTAATGCAGAAGGCGATGGAGGGATTTTTCAGCCAGCTTCCCCACATTAGTGCTTCTCTCCTGATTAGAGAGGAGAGAAGCCAAATTCGGCAGGAGGCGGCCAGCAGACCCCGGATCTGCTTGCCACCTCTTGCTCCAAAGAGCCCTGCCGCAGAGAGTTGCCATGGCAGCAGGAGGCAGTTTAATGGCAGAGGCTCATCTCTGGAGGCACGCTGCTGGTGCCCTCTCTGGCCTTCAACCCGAAGGGCTGGCTACACCAGCAGCACTGAGCCATGGCCATTTGAAAAGCACATTGCCTAATGGAATCAAACTGTAAGATCCTCCAGATTCCAAGGACAGCTACCTCTCCTCACCCCGCTTCTCCTTGGCGCCTAGCACTTTGATGTCCCGTCCCGTAGCCCACCTTATCAAGTTATTTGCAGTTCCTTGAATAATGCTCTTTCATGTTTCTGTGCTTTACACACATGCAGTTTCCTCTGTCTGGAGTGCTCCCTTCCCCAGCTGCCTGGAAAATTCCTACTCACTTTCAGAATGTGGCTTAGATACTGCCTCCTGCTCCATGCTTCCCCTGGGACCCCTGACCCCCGGTCAGAATCGCACCCTTTCCTCCACCATCTCAACCTCGCCCCGTAGCACAGGATTTTGAAAATGACTCTGTATTTTTGTCTTTTTTTCCCTCTAGACTCTAAGTTACTTGCATCTCAAAGTTGTGTGTTTTTTATGAATTTCATATCCCCAGGGTCTTGCTCAGGAGTGGCCACCTAGTTAACCCTTGAGTGTTTGTTGAGTGAATGGTTTCTCCTCATTTATTTAGTCCTTATCATGGGCGTGTTGCACAGGACATGCAGATAGCACTGTCGTATCCAGAAAGGGCTTTGTCTGCTCTGGGGTTTCAGAGGATCGCCCTAGTTTAATCAGCTGACTTGCTGGGTCTGTCACTGACTCTCCATTACACTCATTCTCACTCTCCAGTGGGAATGGGAATGGTGGTAGTGGGAAGAGCCACACTTGGGAGTCAGTCTCCCGAGGGTTCAAGTCAGTTGCCCAATTTGTATGTCTCAGTTCTCTCTTGTTGCATTATAATGTGTGAGGGCAGTGCCGAGGTTCCTTATGGCCCAAAGTAAATTCTTGGTAAATCTTTCTTTACCTTTGTCCTGAATCCCGGGAAGAAAGTGAAAGCAACATGAAAGTTTCAACTAGTTTCTAGTTTTGAACCTTCTCGTGTATCTTTACCTACATCTCATGTATCTTTACCTGCTCTCTCCTTGCTCTGAGCACAGCTTCAAAGGTCACTCCTCTTGACCCTGAGCCTCTTGTTTCTTTTCCTGAGCTGCTGGGAGGTAGTCCCCTTCTGTTCCCCAATTGCCCTGCTTTCATCTTTGGTGCATCTGTCCCCTTGAGTTTGTTGTGTAGATAGACATTTTTAAAGAGATTTACACTGAGTGGCCAGATTATTATGATCTCTGAATGCATGATAATCTGGCCACTCAGTGTATATCCTATATAATAAGAGGCTAATATGCAAATTGTTTCCTGGACCAGGAGTTTAACCAGCAATCAGGCCATCCAACTGCCCATGTCCCCTCCCCCTGGCTAGGCTGGCCGGACCCATGCACGAATTCATGCACCGGGCTTCTAACATATATATATTTATTGTTGTTAAATAATAGTATTATTCGTGGTGCTAGTAAATAATCTAAAGGTTTTTATGACTCCTTCCTCAAGGACTAGTGTGCTCCCTAGCGAGGGTCTAGCTTTCTGTGGCTCGTTGCATGGGGTCCCAGGCATGGGCATGCTCATAAGATCCACAGGACAGAGCGGGAGTGAGTAAGGGAGCGATTGTCTCCACACACAGGTTGGCAGAGTTTTCTCCGGGCTGGTTCATCGCCATCAGCCACAGAAGCAGTCCCACTTCCAAACCACACCTTCCTGCCTGGCATCTTTTCTTTCCTTTTCTCTGTTGAACATGAATATTATTGGAGTCATTAACAGGGTTACACAAAAATTACTTATTTTAGTTTCGAGGTTTGTAGCCATGCCTGCACTTGTCATCCTCCTCCCCTCACATCCCTCCAGCTCCTGCCCACTGCTCCACGGAAGCATGCCAGTCCAGCCTACTCCACCTGCAGGGGTCTCTCTAGTCCCACCCCTAACACACATACTGTTTTTTTCCACTTAATTTTTTTCTTTATCTGGATTGACTCTATATTTTTAATTACATTTATTAGGGTGAATTGGTTAGTAAAATTTTATAGATTTCAGTTGGTTTTATATCTTTGCTTTTCTCTTTTCTCACCTATTTCTTATGTTTTGTATATTGCCTGAATTGAGTCATAGCTTGCATAGCAACAGAGTTTAACAGTGTGCGGAAGGCTATTGGCAGATGCATATTTAATTTTTCATATGGACCCAATAGAATTGAACCCAGGGTTGGGAGTTCTTTAGTTATAATCTTGCATGAGAGCACTTTTTTTTGTGCTCCCTGTCTTGACCCACAAAATTAGGCTTTGCTTCTCTCAGTTAAGAAGATTTGGCTCTTACTTTCTATTTGGGCAGCTGATAGCATGTGCAATCTGTCATCTTTTCTACCTCAAAACATTAAAAAAAAAAAACCTATTTAATATAATTTCTGATTAATCTTTCCTTTTCTGAAATATGTACATTTGTATAGTATGCAAAAGGGATAACTTACAATTTGGGAATTATTTTGCTTCAATGAAATGGACTATTGTAATAAATAATATTTATTATAGTATCAATTCAAAAATAATTTCCATTCTTTCTAGATAATGAGAATTCTAAAAAGTAAAAGAAAATTAAAATTGTGAAAAAAAATTAATGGCTGTTGTTAAAATGTTCGTATATTTTCCTTTAGTCTTCATTCAACTTTATATATTTAATTTTATAATGCATTTTTATAATTATATATTCACTAGAGGCCCATTGCATGAAATTCGAGCATAGAGGTGGGAGGAGTGCCCTCAGCCTGGCTTGCATCCTCTCCAGTCTAGGACCCCTTGGGGGATGTCTGACTGCTCCTCACAATCCGGGACCACTGACTCCTAACCGCTTACCTGCCTGCCTGTCTGATCATCCCTAACCCCTCTGACTACCTTTCCAATCTCCCCTAACCACCTCTTCCTGCCTGCCTGATCGCCCTAACTGCTCCCCTCTTGGCCTGATCACCCCTAACTGCCTCTGTCTCGCCCCGCACCCAGGACCCAGGATTGCCTCTTCCAGCTGGTTGCAGGCACCTGGGACCTGAGCTTAATACCTCCCTCTGGCCAGCAGCAGGCACCCAAGACCCAGGGGGCTTTGCCCGGGCCAGCCACAGCTACAGGGATCCATGGGTGGACAGTTTTACCCAGGCCACTGGCGCTCAGGACCAAGGGGTGGGCAGCTTGTCCCTCTCCCAGGCTGTAACCTGGCTGGTCCCCATTCCTCTCTCCCCAGTGTTAAGTGTCTGAGCCATTACAGCGTGATGACATGAGGATGTGACAACCATTTGCAAATTAGCTCTTTATTATATATAGGATTAGCTAAAGTTTTATATATTCATTTTTATAATTAGACATGTTATATATAATTATATATTCATTAACTGAAGTTTACATATAAACTACAATTCATGTTATATAGCAGTATTGCTATATTCCAGTAATTTGGGGGTGGGGGGGTATACAAGTTTGACCAAAAAAATAAAAATAAAACAAATTCTTTTTAAAGATGAAAATAGATCATTTCTAAATATAATATACACATGACAAATTTTAATTTTGGAAAAATAGATCATGAAAAAGGAGTCCGACAATTACTTTTCATCCCTGCTTTTAACAGTATATTTATAAGCAATTCTTTAAAAAGCTTATCTGTGATTAGATTTGTGAAATGTTCCCACATCTATGATTAAATTTGTGGAGGAGTATGGAATAGATGTTCTTTGCTTTTAGGCTGAGTCAGATGCGCAGTGAACCAGAATGTATTTTGTGGAAATAGTATCTCAATATTTTTCTTCATGCTGTAGGTATGTGTTCTTTTTGGATCCGTGCAATCTGGACTTGATCAACCGGAAGATCAAGTCTGAAGCGCTGTGCGTAGCAGCATGTCCAAGACAAGAGCTGAAAACCCTGAGTGACGTTCAGAAGTTTGCAGAGACGAATGGTGAGACTTTAGGCATCTGAGTCTACACCCCAGTCACTTATTCTCACTTACATTTTATGGGTTTGCCTTCCAATGTAAGTTTGCCTGGTGTTTAAAAATAGAAGTCATAAAAAAAATCATAAAAAGAAAAAGAGACTGTTGTTAAAATGTTTGTATATTTTCCTTTAGTCTTCATTCAACTTTATATATTTAATTTTATAATGCATTTTTATAATTATATATTCACTAGAGGCCCATTGCATGAAATTCGAGCATAGAGGTGGGAGGAGTGCCCTCAGCCTGGCTTGCATCCTCTCCAGTCTAGGACCCCTTGGGGGATGTCTGACTGCTCCTCACAATCCGGGACCACTGACTCCTAACCGCTTACCTGCCTGCCTGTCTGATCATCCTAGGCAGGCAGGTAAGCGGTTAGGAGTCAGTGGTCCCGGATTGTGAAAATACTATAGAATTTCCTTGATATACAAATGTTATAGTTACCTAGGAGCTTGTTAAAACCCCAGATTCCTGGGCCCCACCTGGGAAATTCTGACTGAGTAGGTCTTTGGACACTGGAAATTTGTATTTTTAACAAATGTCACAGGTGATTTTTTGATGTATCCTAATTGAGTACTTGGGAATTACTAGACTATACCAGGTAAAATTGGGAGGGGGGAGTGTTCCTTCTGTAGTAACAGATGTTTATTATAGGAAATTTGAAAAGTTCAGAAAAGTGATAATGAAGTGAAAACCAAAGTTTCACCATTTTTCAGTGTGTTAATGTATATAATTTTGTCTCTTGCATTCTACTTCTGCCTCTTTGAGCCTAGATCTCCTCATTCCTGTCCGGGCATTTAGCAGCGGACAGGAATATGGCCATTCTGTAGATCAAAGTATGGATTTAAAATAATGCTCCCCCTCCTAAGTTGTTGTGAGGATTAAATGAGATGAATACTGGACACTTACTTGGTGGGCATTGAATAAAGAGGCATCAACTATTCTTTAAGATCTCATTTTTTTCTTCCCACATGATATCCTCAGATGTGTTGATGTGCTGAGTCCAATGCCAGAACTATCAGCCTTGTCATTATCAGGTTTCTTAGGGAGGGGTGAGTTATTCTTTAAGGGGTTTTCTAAAATCTTAGACAGTGTGAGCCTATACAGTGTCCTTTGGGAGGTGGTCCCACTGAGTGGTTAGGAGTGTGGACTCTAAAGGTAGATTATCAGGGTTCACAAATTGGTCCTTCCATTTAAAAGTTGTGAGGCCCTGGGCAAATTACTTGACCTCTCCATGCCTCAGTTTCCCCATCTATGAAATAGGAATGTACCTAAACTATCTCATAGCACTGTTCTGAAGAGTTAATACATACATGAAAAATGAATAGAACATTGCCTGGTAAATAGTATTTTGCTACAATATGGATATAACTTGAAGACATTATGTTAAGTGAAATAAGACAACTACAAGAGGGCAAATACACTGTATTATTCCCCTGGGTAAGACATACACACCTTCATTTTATTATTTTTATCACTGCCTTCTGAACAAGGGATTAACATGAGCTGGAAGTGGAGAGGGACTTGAGGCGGGAAGACTATTACATTCCACTGGTAGAATAATAATAATAATAATAATAATAATAATAATAATAATATTGCAACAGTAGAATGGTGGTTGCCAGGGCTGTGGGGAGAGAGGAATGAGAAGTTGTTGTGTTATGCATAAAATGTTTGAATTTTGCAAGAAATAAAGAATTTTGGAGATGGATAGTGATGATGGTTGCACAACAATGTGAATGTACTTAATGTCTCTGAACTGTGCACTTAAACATGGTTAATTAATATGATAATAGTTACCATGTGTATTTTACCACAATTAAAATGTTCATGAAAGGGAAAGAATTACAGTTCGTTTTAAATGATAATTGTAAACCTTATTTTAAAGTTCAGGTTAAAATAACATTTTTCTTACCAGAATGAAAAGATAATATACATCCTTTTCAGGGGATTTTATGTTTCCATGACAACATTTGGAAGTACTTTTTAGCATTTACAACTGTTCATTCATATGAACTTCTATTAGCTTTACAAATTATTTAAAAATTTTACAAAGGAAAGCTCTTGGCTCTTGTAGTAAGAAATACATTCATTAGGCAAATAAAATATTTCCTCAATTTTTGTTTCTTTTAGATAAAAAGAGAAGCTGTTTTCTTGGACATTTACGTTTGTGGACCATTCTGTCCAATATGTCTGACTAGAATAGAAAGTTTGGAAGAAATAGCTGGAAATTAGATTGGTCATGTAATATGCTCTCATATTACAAAGAGTTTGGAAAGCAAGCAGAAGGATTTAGGTGAATATAAAAGTATAAATTCTTATATGTGTGTTGGTTGGTAAGTGTACAAATGTGCATTTTATTATTATGATGCATAGTTCATATGTGACACAAATATCACAAATACTTAATGCTAGGGATTAAAATAACTTAAAAATTGCTTTAAAAAAAGTGAAAGTTGCCAAATACCACAATTAAACTTTTTTGTTTTGTCATCTTCCTTCAGTAGTGCATGAGTTTCCTGGGGGCAGGATCATACTGTCTTCATCTCGGAATATCCAGCCCTAATATAGGACAACATAATAGCTGTTCATAAATGTTTCCCGAAAAAACCACGGGCTGAACTTCCCCCTTCATCTCTGTTGCCACTTACTGATTTTCCATTCTCTCAGCGTACTCTCTAGCCTTTGCTCAATTCTGTATCCATGTGAGTTGCCACCAGCAGGTAAATAGTTTAGCTTCAATCTAACCAGAATTGCTGTGAAATCGGTTCTTTTTATTCACCTCTTAAATAATTCATCTTGTGTATTCATTCATCTCTCTCACACATATTCTCCAAGTGATTATTCGTTCCATTCCCCCCCCCCCCCTCTTAAGCCCTCTTGTTCTTCCTCTTTCCTAATCTTATTCCCTATACAGAGAAACTGCAGCGGGCCGGGAGAGCTCATTTTCAGCAGAGCATGAATTCCATCAACTTTCGTTCCCTCCAGTTTCCATTGAACAGGTTTCTGTCCTCTTTATTATCATTATTGTTGAAAACTCAAATAATGTGTACATTGTAGGGAGTGGAAATAATCCTTTCTCCCGCCGCTGCTACTTCATCTCAACCCAGCCAGACCATGACAGGTGGCGAAGGGAAGGGAAGATAATGCTTGTTCAGCCGGTTCTCCCCTCCTCTCCCTTCTCTAATTCTGGCCCGACCACCACCTCTGGTCAGTAGACCACCCTTCACTTTACTCCAGAGCCCCTTGTTATCATGGGCAATGAGTCTGAGTGGATAAATCCTACTTAAGCCCTGTGTTGTGTTTGAGCAGACCACATATTGGCACCTGCCTTATACCATGCACTGTGCCAGATGCGTTGCAGGTCATGTTAGCCTTTCCACTTGCGATCTGAATTCTAAACAACAGTTTAGAAAGGAGAATAACCTGTAGTCAGGTTAGAGTGCTAATATTTTACATGGAATTCTTTATCAATCATCTTTTGCATTATTCCTATCCAACTATTTTATAATGTATGTTTTGTTTTTCTGTATCCTAGTAGAAACTTTATTTTCCCTTTGTTTGTGCCTCATTTATAGCTTGTAAGAAAGCACTTCTATTTAAGAGTGCTTCTTCAATGTACTGTAGTTTGGGTACATTTTCAATGTACTGTAGTTTGGGTACATTTTGAGAGCTTTGTGACCTGCCATTTGGACCAAGTTCAGATTCTGAGCAGAGCTGTGCAGCTCGGTGCTTTCTCGGTGATCATTGCTTTGCAGTTGAAAATCTTGAAATATTATGTGATCCATTTAGATAAAATTTGTGAATATTAACAATACTTTTGATTATCATTAACTAATCAGTGATACTATAACTTAAACCACAGAGTTAGTATGGATTCTTTTTTTGTTGTTTTTTTTGTTTTGTTCACTGAAATAAAAAAAATTAGACTTGATATCAGTTAAAATGAATGAAATAATCAACCCTACCAACTGATTTGATTGACTCCAAGTCAGAGATCAGCAAGGGAAGCTTGATTGTTAAAAAGTGGGAAAATTAAAAAGGTGAAGGGGTTAAGTTAAAAAAAAAAAAAAAAAAATCAGACATAGACAATAGCATGGTGATTACCAGAGGGAACGGGAGGTAGAAAGGGAATAAATGGTGAAGGAAGGAGACTTGGGGTGATAAACACACATTACAATATGTACAAATTTTTAGAAAGTGGGAAAAATTATTACATTTGATAATGCAATTTAAACTAATTCCTCATTATACAAATAATTAATTAGTACTTGTTAAGTATGTGCCAAAGACACAAAAACAAGGTGTAGTCCTCATGTTTAAGGAGATTGCATCACGGTAGACAGTCCCAGTCCTCTTTGTCCTCCACAGTACATAGGAGGCTTGCACATATATGTCAAAAATTCATTTACTCAGCAAATATTTATTCTCTGCCTAGTATGTGCTACTTAGTGGTTGGCTTAATATGACACCACTATCTGGTTACTGGGTGCTTCTTTGGAGAGAGAGATAGAAACATCAATGATGAAAATCACTAATCAGCTGCCTCCTGCACTGGGGTTCAAGCCTGCAACCTGGGTGTGTGCCCTGACTGGGAATTGAACCTTGACCTCCTGGATCATGGGTAGACGCTCAACCATTGAGCCACTCTGGCCAGGCAGTATCTTGCATATCTTGAATGGCATACAGGGACAGTGGATAAAGAAGAAGAGAAAGGATGACTTCCACATTTCATCTTGGGGATTTCATGGAGCCATTAACCAGGATTGAAAATATATGGAAGGAGGCAGAACTGATTCGGAGAGTGTGTGATAGAAATATTTTGGGTTTTTACAAAAATATGTTGCGTTGGGATATCTCTGGAACAATATATCTTTTGCCCAAGAGCTTATTGTGTATTTGTCTGATTATGATTGTTAGGAATGACACAGAAGACGCATTATGACAGAAGAATTCTACTTCTAAATTTTCTAGTGATTGCTCATAAGGCCTAGGAAGTATTAATTTCCCCCCCATCTGTAATGTTTAGTGTGGTGATAGAAACATAACCTCTTAGGGGAGTTATAAGTGAATTGAGCTACAGAATAAATGATTAAATATTATAAGGCATTTGAAAAATTGTGGTAGTTAAACATTCTGGGAGCTATAGAAACTATTTACTGAGATAAATGTGTATATACAAACATTAGATTCCTAAGATCATTCATTTTGATGGCATTTGAATAACATAGGCTGAGTTGCATGGATTGCCTTTAGTATGCTGTAGATAAGCTTTTTGTTTTTTGTTTTAGACTTTTCATCACTCAAGTATGTTTTTTCCCTTCTCTTTGCATTAGAAAATAAAACTTTGTCTTACTGCTTATAAGCAAACCTCTTGTGCTGATATTGTTTATACTTCCATTATTTAAAAAAAAAAAAAAAGATAGATAGATAGATAGATACTGCCTTAAAAATGTTCACTGAAAATGTATTAGCTAATAAACATGAAAGAAAAACAGCAACTGTAAAACGTTTGCCATTACTGGGTTGTCTTAATATTCTTCATTGAGGCTTCTCTGTCCATCAGCCCTTCAAATAGGAAGCAGTATAAGGTTTCTTCTGATTGTTATGACTAGCACATTGTAAAGATCTTTCTCCTTTAATCTATTTAGTACAAGATCTATTTAGTACTGGCCTGTGTCCCAGAAAACCATCAGAGATAAGGCTATTATCCTTTCATTGAGCATTATCCTAGGAAAGTATTTATAAAATTGAACTCTGTTGCACCTGCTGACCTCCTTTTTTAACTGGAGAGAGAGTGGGGGGTGGAGATTATGTTCCCAGAATTCAGATGGAGCAGTGTTTGATGGCTCCAATGCCAAGTGCTTTAGTTGGGCCTTTTATATTGTGCAAATCGATTCCATCTTGGACTCTGAAAGAAATAAGTTGACAATTCAGATCAGGGAGTTGATCACATTGGGTGCGCTGCAGTTATTGGCACAGTTGCTATTTTTCTCATGTGCAATTCCATAATAGGACTCCCAGCTATTTTAGGGATTAATCTGAAATGTTTACTTGCCATCGCTATAAATGGAATCAAGTGGCATTATCTTCATACAGGAAAGACTAATTTCAAAAGAGGTGCGTTTTTAATATTTTGCAAATTTAAGTAGTAATTACAATGGAAAAAAATGCTTAAAAATAATTCCAAAAACTCAGTTTCTTATTGAGACTATCTTAAGAAGATGAAGAAACTTGAAGAATAGTATCCTGTAACTTTCAAGTACCTCTTGAATTATCTTTATATAAAATAAATGGTACATGTATTTATGTAAGTATGCTAATACAGCCCATGTATTTAAACATTTGACAAGTTGGTTGCTGGTTTGGGGGGTAGCATTACTGAAGTAAATGCAGGTTTTGTGGTTTTCTAAAATCTTATTGTTTGATAGGACAAGATATGAATGAAATAAAATCACTTCCATTTGTGTTGTCCCAACAAATCTTTTTCTGTATTTCCGTCTAGTTTCTTCTCACATCCTTACATGATGTTTCTGTAATTATTTCAGTGTTAAAATCCAACACTTTCACTTCACATTACATTTTACACATTTCCTGTGGTGGTACATTACAAAAGTCCCTTTTTTCTATAACACAAATGCAAAGCTAATCCTAGTTGTATTTAATAATAAAGTATTTGACCAAATTAGTAATCTGGTAAGAATGTCAACTAATAAAATATAAAAGTTTACATGTTATAAGGATATAGGTTCTCGGAAAAATTAGACTATAGTCTAAATCTTCTGTTAACAATATCTATTGTATAATGAACCTTACAATATTTTAGTTGCTATATTACAAAGTTATCAAGTTCTTAAAATACTTATCTATTTGGTGGATTGTAGTCATCTGAATTTTATATATTGTGTAGATATATATTAGGAATATAGTCAGAGAAATGGATGGTTGCATAATCAATCCAGGGTTGAGTTTAAGTTGTTTGAAATTATCCGAAAATTGAGGATTTTTTTAATATATTTTATTGATTTTTATACAGAGAGAAAGGGAGAGAGATAGTTAGAAACATCGATGAGAGTCATCGATCAGCTGCCTCTTGCACACCCCCCACTGGGGGGGGGATATGCCCGCAACCAAGGCACATGCCCTTGACTGGAATCGAACCCAGGACCCTTCAGTCCCCAAGAGCTGAGGATTTTTTTTATCAGTTTAATCAATTAGTTCAGTTTATTTAATTATCATGTCTTGCCTTTTAAGAAAGAAAAAAGTAATGTATTATCTGAATGTGCATGTGTTCTATGCAATAATTTTAAATAGTAATGGAAAGCATAGGAAAGAGAAGCACCATATGTAGGTGAATGTGGGGTTTTTTTGTGTGTGTTTTTTTTAATATATTTTATTGATTCTTTTACAGAGGGGAAGAGAGAGGTATCGATAGAGAGTTAGAAACATCGATGAGAGAGAGAGTCATCGATCAGCTGCCTCTTGCACACCCCCTACTGGGGATATGCCCGCAACCAAGGTACATGCCCTTGACCAGAATAGAACCAGGGACCCTTCAGTCCCCAAGCCGATGCTCTATCCATTGAGCCAAACCGGTTTTGGCTGAATGTGGGTTTTGTGGTCAAAGAAATCTAGAGTTTACTCACACCTCTACTGCTTAGTAGCTGTGTCATTTTGGGCATTTTCTTTACCTTATTTCTTGGCCTCTGTTTCCTTCTCCATAAAGTGGCTTTAATAATACATATGTGTCTTATAGGGTTATAGTAAATGATACAATTAATATTTATGGGATGAGAGGAGAGGCTTACCCCACCAGTAACTTCCTAAGAGTTCCCAGCATATGGGAGGAGGGGACAGGTTCCCTTTCCCACCTCCACTCCCAGCCCTCCTCTGGAGATGAGAAACCTGGGTGGGGAACAGAACCAGCCTTAGGAATGGGCTGCTTGGCCTAATCCTCAGAAGCAGTAGGGCTGGCAAAAACTCTTGGTTTCTTCAACAGGAGAATTTTATTATGTCTCTTTGGTTCATTTGTTTAGAGACATTCTTGGATGCAGTTTGGTCAGTTAGAATTGCAGTTGCTTATATTAAAAAATTTATATATATCTGACATATGGCAGGCAGCAATCACTCAATAAAGGTAGTTCTAGTGTTGTTATTACCCTTAATATTATCCTTAAAATTTGTATATAAGTTACTGCAGGAGAAATGCTTTAAATGATGGAAAACCAATACCATAGACGAAATCAGAATCTTTTTGATTATATAATGTTTGAAAGTTATATGTGTTGAATTAATATTCACATACAAAATAAAATTAAAATCCCTTAATGAGAGAAATTATTCAGACTGTTTGCTAATGTTTAGCTTTCTTTCAACAGGCTCAGCACTTTGTCACTACCAGCTAAAGCCTTCTGAATATACATCTGCAAAAGCGTCTTCTCTGTGCCCCAAACTACCAGTTCCAGCGAGGTAAATGTTATCATATTTTTTTTTAACTTGTGACTTTTGTTTTCATAGGTGGATTGTAAACTGTATGTTATTCTGAGAAAAGGGTCGCATACCAGTTATCTAAGTCCAGTACTTTTATATAAAAAGTTTTAAAGTAGTAGTAAAAATAATAGCATTTAATTTACATCTTTAAAAACACACACACACACACACACACACACACACGCGCGCACACACAACTTTTTCATTATCAGGTATTTTGCATTTCTTGTGGGGGTTCCCCCCTTTTTTTAATGCCTTAATATTTAAGTATACAAAATTGCTGACTCATACAAACTGCAGTAAACTTAGAAGCCAAGCCTAACAGTCCAGAGATACTTTGAAATTGATCCTACAAATACTAACAAGGATTAATTTTCAATTTATTTTGCAAATTAAAAAAAAGAAACATGACAGTGATTATTCTCCGTAGTTTATTTCAGGCTATCTCCTTCAGGTACATTCTCTGCTATAGGCTGTTTGCATATCTTATCCAAGGTTTTATTCAACAAACATTTATTATTAAGTACCTACTGCATATAATGGATACAAGGATGAGGAATAATCTCACGGTAGTTGTAAGTAAAGCAAATTTTAAAATTATAGCAGTAAATAGATTTATAAGAAAGGAGATAGCCCAGCTGGTATGGCTCAGTGGTTGAGCATTGACCTATAAACCTGAAAATCGGGGTTCAATTCCCAGTCAGGGCACATGCCCAGGTTCTGGGCTCATCCCTGGTGGGGGAAATACAGGAGGCAGCCAGTCAATGATTCTTTCTCTCATTATTGATGTTTCTATATCTCTCCCTCCCCCTTCTTCTCTGAAATCAATAAAAATAGATATTTTTTAGAAAAGAAGATAAATTTTCAACCACTGTAGAAAATAGCCTCAGAATTAGGCATGTAGGGTTTGGAACATGTCTGATCTTCAGAACCTTTGCATGTATCACTAATCGTGTATGACATGAGTCAGCTTCTCTAGGAATACGGAATTGAACCACTTTCATTGTATCTCAGTATATTATAGCAAGCTGTTGTTTAAAATTTTGACAGTCATGTCTGTTTTCCTTTGGATTGCTTATAAGTGTAGTTTGTGTGTTATTAACTTGAATTTGAAATTTTCTTTTGAAAAGTAGACAAAGGACATATCCATTAAATTGATTTCAGCTTTTAATCTTGTCAAGTTGCTATTGATGTTAAAATTTTAAGCCTTTGGATGTAAAAATAAAGGGGCTATTTTAAAAGATATTAGATAAAAGGGATCTACAAATTATGGGCTTAGACTAATAGGTAAGGAGACTCCATTTGTGAAAATTGAGAATATTGGGGAGGCTATCACAGTAAAGAAATAGAGGTCCTTTGAATAGAGTCTCTAGAGAAAAATTATCAATATAAGAAAAGCTATATCTTACTGAACTGTTAAAGCCTGTTTTAAATGCATATTTTGAGTAGAGTCACTATTTTAAGGCATAAATGTATTCTAAAAGCATGACCAGAGAGCCTTGGTCTGAGAATGAGGTTGCTCTGCTCCTATACAGTATGGGTGGGGGGTAGCTCATACCACAAATTCTCCTCCATCTCTGATCTCTGATTCTACCATGTTGGTAGCTTCCTGTTTCTGATTATTTGAAGTGTTTTAGTCTTGGCTGCACAGACATACACATCTCACATACAGCATCCTAAGGGCATTTCCCCAAAAGACAAAATCTAGTAAGAGGGGCTTAGATTTTAGAGATGAACAGACTTGGCTTCTAACAAGGGTATCCACTAATGTGTCAGTAATCTATGATGCAATGATGAACCTATACCATCTGAAAACTAACTATATACTATATTTATCCTTTATTTAAAGACCCTTATAATCTTAGTGTCTTACCACTTTTGTCTGAACTCAGCCTGTTAGAAAATAGGTAGGAGAAGAAATAGTTAATAGGAGGAAGGTAAATTATAAATATTATTATTTACTATTTGGCAAGTAAAGTGAAAGGATCAGAAAACAGAATAAATTGGTTTTAATAAAACACGTGGGATGCTACCTTGTCCCACACTAATATTAAATACCAAAGCTAAAAAGTCAATTAAGATCTAGTCTCTGTCCCCAAGAGACCCTGTCCTTAAAAAAATTAGGGACTGTTTTGTACATGATGAATATATCTATATATATAAAAGCCTAAGTGACCGAAGGACTGAATGACCAGTTGACCAGTCACTATGACTCACACTGACCACCAGGGGACAGACAATTAATGCAGGAGCTGCCCCCTGGTGGTCATTGCGCTCCCATAGCCAATCTCCTGCACCCCCGCCAGGCACCCCACACCAGCCTACCCCTATGGCCACGATCAAGGGGGCCAGCTGGCCAATCTCCCACAGCCCCTCCCCTGGGCCTGCTCACCCAGATGGACTCCAGGCCCCAATCTGGGCAGGCGACAGCCCTGATTGGCCCCAATCACCAGCCAGGCTGAGGAACCCTACCCATGCACATATTCATGTACTGGGCCTCTAGTATAGTAGTATATCTATTGCTCTAGGCAAACTTGTGATACAGGCAAGTGGCCCCTAGCATATTTTATATTTCTATCCTCCTGGGGGCACCCTGTGGGACAGAAAGAGTTACACTTTGAGCTCAGATAGGCCTGGAAGTTGGAAAAAAAAATTTTTTTTAAGTGAATTCTCTGTCACCGTGTTCTCTTGGTTAGCTTGAGCAAGTCTCTTAACCTCTGTAAACTAAGTTTCCTCATACATGAAATGGGAATTGAATACCTCTGCCATGGAATTGTAAGAATTAAATGCAATAATATGTGCTACACTCCCATTATTGTGCTTGGCTTTTGGCGTGGTAGTATTATTTCTCTCAACCTCTAGAGCAGGGGTAGGCAATGTCCAGCCCAGGGGCCTATAAGGCCTGCGAAATCATCTGGTCTGGCCCTGCCAAGGCGTGAGGGGTGAGTTCATTAAATGTTTGACCAAGTAGAGCAGGCTAATTTTTAAGCTGATGCTTCTGTATGGCCTGTGAACGATGTTATAAATATCTAAATGGCCCTTGGCGGAAAAAAGGTTCCCCATCCCTGCTCTAGCGCCCCGCCTCCCCTTTACCCCCAGACTTCCTAGGCACCCAGGTACCGTCTGCAGCAGAAGGCAGTGCCTGTTTTAGAGAAAAGCAGGTGTAAACTAATTTTCAATAAAACACTAGTGCCATGTAATTGCCAAATGGTTGCTATTTTGAAGCACTTTTGACTTTTAAAAACAAAGGCCTAGAAAGAATCATATTTTACTCAAATTCAGAACTCTCTGTTGATGACATGCTAAGCAATAAGGAGGCAGGCTAGTCTGTATACTTACAATGCTTAAAGGTTTAGGTACAGAGAAAATTGAAGTAATAGGAACAGATTACATAAATTCATTTTATTCATCAAACATTGATTCGGGTACCTCTGGATACCAGAAAGAATGCTGAGTGATGGGGAATTAATAACATAATTTGGAGATGATAAACTAACAGCCAAGGGAGGAAAAAAAAAAGTTAAATATTTACTTTTAAAATGAAGGATTCAAGGTAATTTTTTTATTCAAGGTAAATTAATATTTATAAATCATCTTCTGTATGCCAGCTACCATATTAAGCTACTCATATGTATTATGTCATTTAATCCTCACAAAAACCTATAAGGTTATTGTTCCAATTTGTAGATGAGGAAATAGAAGATAAGAGAGATTAAATGAGTTATTCAAGGACACACAACTAATTGTTGTGAATCAGAATTTGAATCTAATATCCTGTAAAGTCTAAAGTCTAATATCCTGTAAAAAACAGTTTGTTCTTTTTGAGAGGGGCGTTGTTTGTGTTTTAAAGAGAGAGAATACAGGAATGAGAGACGAGAAAAGAATAAAATAAAATGTATGAAAACCATTGCATATTGCCATTAGATTCTTGACTTACTCTTTTCCTCCCTTTTCTGTGCTTTGGAGATATTGCCAGAATCCTCTACTTTTTTTCTTCGTTCTTAAATAAACCTCTTAAGTAGAAATCAGGTATAATTGTTTATTTATAACCTGAGGTGTGTTTTGTTTTGTTTTTAATTGAGGTAACATTGGCTTATAACATTATATAAGTTCCAGATGTACAACATTATAATTCAACATCTGTGTGTACAGCATATCATGCTCACCACCAAAAGTCTAGTTTCCATCTGTCACCGTATAACTGACCCCTTTACTCATTTCACCCCCCCTCCATACTCCTTCCCCCCTGAGAACCACTGATCTATTGTCTGCCTCTATGGGTTATGGTTTTTTTGTGTGTGTTTTTTTTGTTTTGTAAAATAATTGTGTGAGATGCCAACACCTGTCTTCTCTTCTGAAGGCATATGGAGAAGAGATATTAGGCATACTTTGAGGGAGCTCATTAATTGTGATAGTCTGGGCTGAAAGGCAAATGGACAGTATGTTTGCCAAGGTAAGATACAATTTTCCTATGAGTGGCTAATTTTTTTTAAAAAGTCTTTAAAAGACTCATTATATTTTGTTCTTGTTCACTAATGTTTCAATAATGTGAAACAGCAACAGTTCCTAATGGAACAACATTGACTTCTTAAAGAGTTAATGTTCTGTGGGCTTCGAAAAGTAATAAAACTTACTAAAAATATGTAATTATTTATGCTTGTCCTCTTAATTAAGAAGCACAGAATGTGTCATATAGGTTAGTCACTAAAGCAGAAATGAGCCTATATACTAGGTTCTCAGAATTATTACTTTCTGAGAGGTAGATGAAATCAGCCAACTCATCTAATCCCACATTCTTTAGATCACATAAGACTTAAATAGTAAAATACAAGACAAACCATAATGCCACTGTTACATAGATTTTAAAATAAGGAAACAATTTAAGCATTCACTCATGGATGGTGGAATTATTTGGGGGGGAAGAATTGAGAAAAAGAATGACCTATAAAGGGATCTATTGTTTTTTACTGTAAAGCTGTGTTTAACTTCATTTCTTACTACTCTGTCCAGATATTATCTTCTCCGTTGCCTTCTCTTTCTATTACACTGTACCAGTGAGAACAGATTTTGACCATTTTGACCGTCAGCTAAAAAATGTAGTTAATCAGCTTGTGTTAATTTTTATAACCTTCAAATTTAGAGCTGTCAGGATTTTTTTTCCTTAACTGACATAGATTGAATGATAAGGCCAGGGACTATTGTTATTGTGCTTCATTTCATTGAGGGATACATGTAAAAGTACCCTCTTCAGTTGCCATGGGTTTATATATATTATAAAAATGATGTGAAAGGGTACGTTCAGAGCAGATATTACTCAGTCTTTCCTTTTTAAAATATGAAGGATTTGAATTTTAACAGAAGAACCCTTCCCTTTTTAAGTAATCTGTTCTCATTCTAAGTTTGAAAAGCAGAAATATACTAAAGATACTGTGCTTGCTGCTTCTGTGAACTTAGAATCATTCATTTCTGGGTGGGCATAATATTATTGTTATTATTATATTCATACTGAAAAGGCAGAGGACTTATTCCTACCCTTTCACCTAGCAGATGGGAAAACTGAGAAAGAGAGAAGTGGAGTGATGTGCAACTATGTCATGTTTGAACCTAAGTCCAGGTTTCTTTCCTTTATCACAGGCTCCACTCTCTTTTAAAAACGGTGTGTTTTTCTTTGAGTATAAAAATACATCAACATGTTGCTGGTTTGACTCAGCAGATAGAGCATCAACCTGTGGACTGAAGGGTCCCAAATTCAATTCCAGTCAAGGGCACAAGCCTGTGTTGCAGGTTCAGTCCCCAGTAGGGGGCATGTGGGAGGCAGCCAATCAGTGATTCTCATCATTGATGTTTCTATCTCTTTCTTCCTTTTCCTTCCTCTCTGAAATCAATAAAAATATATATTTTTAAAAAACATCCTGTTAGGATATGGGAGTTGTAGGTGGAGCCACCTCTGGCCAGGGAATCAAGTTACCTGACAGGAAAAGGGAAACAGGAAAAAAAACACGGGCAACAAAGTGGTGGGAATTAAGTATGAGAAAAAGTCATCGGTAGTTCCCTTAAGATGGATCTATTTTATGTTTAAGATTGGAGGCAAGTGAGTGAAACAGAGGCTGCTTCAGCGATTAAGGGGTAATAAGACAAGTGAGATGTGTATAATCATGGACCCAAGAGGACTTTAGTTTTGAAGGCTAGAGAACCTCAGTTGAACATAGGGTTAGACTTCCTTAGCTGGGGACATTAACCTGGTAGTAACAGTATCTAGACAACTTCAGGAAAAAATACCGCGCATATATACATACAAAAATGAAAAACAGTTGTAGGTCCCAACGAAGTCACTAGTTTAAAGGTTTCTTTCCCCTAACTCAGCCTCTATTGACTTAGGAGTTTATAGTTAATCTTTTTTTTTTAATATATTTTATTGATTTTTTACAGAGAGGAAGGGAGAGAGATAGAGAGCTAGAAACATCGATGAGAGAGAAACACCAACCAGCTGCCTCTTGCACACCCCCTACTGGGGATGTGCCCACAACCAATGTGTATGCCTTTGGCCGGAATCGAACCCGGGACCTTTCAGTCCGCAGACTGATGCTCTACCACTGAGCCAAACCGGTTTCGGCTATAGTTAATCTTATTTGATCTTTTTTCTTATAATATGTCTAAGTCCATCTCATTTAAAAGTATTCTGTAATTTAATAACTTTATATATCATTAGTGAAACAACTTTTGGTGAAAAAAACACACAATATTATTTGCATACTAGTAATACAGGCATTACTCCAAATGCTTCAGTTTTCTGCAATTTCTGCCAAAATATTAAATCCTTGGCATCAACTTTCACTAAAACTATTTTACTAACACCATTTTAGAGGTATACCCAGATACACCCATTGGTCACAAGAGGCAAATTTTTACAAATAAACATTCATGGCAAATTGTCACATCATTTTGGGATACATTTTACTGAAGCATAACTAAAGTAAGGCAAGATCTTTAAAATTATATTGTTTTTATTATTCCATGAAGTTTATCAGTATGGAAGACGTTGCTTATTCTGACTCCCAGTGTTGCTTATTGATCAACACTTGAGAAAGGAAAGTATTTTGCTTGTGGTCATACAAAGTTGCTTTGCTGAGATGAGAAATCTTAGAATCTGATGCTCAACCATGTACTCTTTTCTACTGATCTGACTCAACTACAGTGCCAACCAAGAATAAGGACATACTTATATCATTCTAGTCAAAATGGTATCTTAGAAGTGTGACTATCAGTCCTACAAATAATTCTGAAGATGTGGGATTTACGTTAGCAATGGCTAAAATCTAACTTAATGCACACATAAGTGTGTATTCGTGCATTGATACACCCATGGAGCTGTCTTAGAATCCAAAGAAATCTCAGCTGAGGGCATATTCATAGCGCTTTCTTTAAAATCTCTTAGTGAGTAGATATATACCATCCTCTCAGAAGCTAAAGTAGAACCATGTTAATAGCAAACCTGATTAATGCCATGGTGCACACTTGGCTATGTTCCTTCACAAGTAAAACTGCGGTCCATACAAGCCTGAAGCAGCAGATTACCTCATTTTGGGACACTAATAATCTTAAAGTAAAAACATATAAAAAGAAAGCAAAAAACCCCAAATCCCATAATACTACCAAGTAGAGATTTTTCATTTGTTTATGTTTTTGTTCATATGTGTATATCTTTTATACAGAGATGCAATCATCACATTAGATGTTTATTTTTGGTTATATTTCCCCCTTGTGCTCTTACATCATCCTTATTTCCATACATGAGTATTCATGGTTATTGTTTTACATAGCTGCATATTATGCTGATTAAGTCATGCTCATGCCTCAGTATGACTTAGTTTACATGAGTTCCTAAGCTTGTGCCCAAGCATCTTTTTAAATCTAAGGTTTTGTATGTCATTCTGATAGAGGAGACCATTCCATTAATAGGGGCACATTTCAAGCAAAAGCCCATGTGTGTCTTTATGTTTAAATAGCTTATGGCAAAAATTCATTTTCAGTTCAATGAAGGAACCTTTTGTAAGTGTTATCATCTGCCCCTTGATTGATAGACGTGCTGGCTGAGTTCAAGTGTTTAGGTTTGCTTCTGGAGGTTGTATCTGTGTGTACGTGTGTGTATATGTGTGTGTATTTCTTTTCAGAAGGGGAGGGTAATGTCTTCTGTTGGAACATGCACTCCACCCTCTTTGATAAGGTTTGTGGTAAGAGTTGCATCACTGCCCATGACAGCCATCTTCATAGCATTAAGCTCACAGCTCTTAGCTCCCATATGACGTGTGGAGGGTGGAGTGTATTGCAGTCACATTCACCTTTCATTTGTGTGTTTGATGTGGCATTTATATTAAGTAGGAGTAATTTTTTTTCTGATTTTTTTTTTCTTGTGTCACCAGTGCACCTATTCCATTCTTCCATCGCTGTGCTCCTGTGAACATTTCCTGCTATGCCAAGTTTGCAGAGGCCCTGATCACCTTTGTCAGTGACAATAGTGTCTT